CTACAGCGTGCACACCCGCGCCGGTAAGGTACGCGCTTGCTGCTCCCGGTGCACGTGTACAGCGGGGGGGGGGGGGGGGGAGGGGACAGCACGGTATGGCAGTCGAGCGTGGGGCACGACTGCGTCAGCGTGAGGGCCTTAGCAGTAGGAGCGGGGTCGGAGAGATGAGGCTTTCTCTAAACGAGCAAGCACTGGCGCTGCCGAGACTTGGTCCAGCGGGATCGCGTCTAGTCGATGCCAATGCAGCGAGTCTCTCATACAATATTCTGCATGTATGCCGTTCCACGTGGCCACGTGCCGCCACTGCCCCCGTTGACATGATGCCTCAGTCAACCGGAGTCCGGGCCACGTATTCCACGTCAGTCACGTTGCGCTGGATCCTCCCAGAGACAACTCTAAACTAGGAACACGGATGGGGAGCAGATTGCCATGATGCAAGATCCACAATACCCTTGGGTACCAAGGGTACTGGACCGAAACATGAAACCGAAAGTTGGAACCGAAACTTGAAATTTTGAGTGTCCCGCACTCACGTGTCCACGTGTATCGCACACTCACATGATGTGAGTCACATCGCCACTTGATTTCTCCGAACCAGCGTCGCCCGACTCGCCATCGCGTTTCCGCTGGCTGCCGCACCGCTCATCAGGTGGGGCATCACCCTGTCGTCCCCGTCGCCCAACTGAGCAAACTCCTCAAACAACCGCTTGGGCACTTGCACAGCCCCGCTCATCACCATCGTGTCGCATTCCCTCAGCCTCTCCCACTGCACCGCACTGCTCACATACAGAACCTCCCCTTGCTGCTCCACCCCTCGCACAATTCCCATCCCCACCACCTCGGTCCCTCCCTCCCCATCCGCCACCCCCACCGCCACCAGTCCGGCGTTCACAAGAGCCCCGACGCAGAACTCCCCGTCCCATCCGTCCTCCACCACTCTCACCTTCATCCCTTCTACCCGATACACTCGCCCCATCCACATCTCTTTCCAGAAGTACCCCCCGCACAACATCTCCCGATACACTCTCCCCCGCATCCCGCTCACATCCCGACTCCCCGCCCGCTCCATCACGTACTTTGCCCCGCCGCCCCACATCGCCTCGCTCAGCCACTTGCGCTCCCCTTCCCCTTCCATCCGACTCTCCACCAAATACCCGGCCTCACACAACCGCCCGAGCTCCTTCAGCAGCTCCGCCCCAACCCCACCAACCCATCCATCTGAGTTCACCACCATCGCCCACCCTTCCCTGCTGGCAACCTCCCGCGCCTTGCCCACAACCTCCTCCACATACTTCGCATACAACTCGGGCGCCTCTCGCGCAGTAGTCTCCCCTAAATACCGTCCACACAAAGGCACCCCCCGCACAGACCCCAGTCCCGTCCCAATCCGACACTCCTTCACCACATGCGCGCTCACCATCCCCGAAACGCTCATCTCTGGCTGCCCCACGTCCGTGTCCACGAATACAACCCCCTCGCAATGCGTCAGTAGCCGATTCACCAAGCATCGCGTTACTGTCGATTTCCCCGTCCCGCTCGCCCCATACACCAGCACCCGCACATCCCTCGCGTTCCCCTTCTCTCGCATCTCGGCTTCAATGTCCCCGCAGAGTTGCTTCCACAGCCCCCACTCCCGAAACACTCCATACTTACTCCCTTCTTGCGGGATTGACGCTGTACTTGTCAGCCGCGTTCCGCCCAGCATCGCCGGAAGCTTTCCTATCTGCGGAAACACGCTCGTGCTGCGAAACACGTCCGTGCAGTTTTGCAGCCCGTCCGTCTCCACAGGCTCGCAGATCCCTTCGTCCCCCGTTGATGTCAAAAGCGTAAGATGCGGCGACGCATCCCTCCTCGGAATCTGACCAGCGACATGACTTCGCACCTTCATGTGCGCAATCGCTTCCGGATGCATCCGCCTGCCCTGTCTCACACTCTCTGCTCCCCGAACCCTCTCGTGCACCGTCAGCGATAAAATAAACGGTGTGTACGGCGCGGACGAAACCAGCACCGGTCGGTCCTCTTCGTGCAGCACCGCGCCAAACACTTGCACCACACCCCGCATCACGGATACCCACGCTGTTCCCGATATCGGCATGCCGGCCTTTTCTACACGCGCCACCGCATAGTGCACCCCACACATCTCTCCGCTTAATACAACGTTGTAGTTCTTCCCCTCCGTATCCTTTTCCTTTTTCGGCGTACTCAATGCAGAGTCTTTCCTCTTCAGTTCCTGAGCCTTCCTCGCTTCCGGTTGCTGCTGCTGACTCGCATCGTCTCCTAGGCTTTGCCGAGTCCTCTTCGCGATCGGCGTTTTGTCTTCCTCTTGTTCTTCATCTGCAGAGGGTGGGGAGAAAAGACGCGACTGTGATGCGACGCGCAAAATCGAGTCGTGCCTGTACTCGATCGCCTCCTCGTCAGAATCGGAGGCAGCAGAGAGGGCGGACGCGTCGCTTGGCTCGGGAGGGGCGCAGGTTTCCATGGCATGGCGCGCGTCTTCTATCGGCTGCACTTTGCTCCCATCTGACCCGTCCCGGGGATTGGCTTTTTCGTGGGCTTTCGGGGTTAGTATGACTTTCTGTCCATCACTGCGGACAGGGCTGTTGCTGGCCGCAACTCGAGTCTTTCGCTTTCTCTTCACCATTTCGCCCTTTACTTCGCGAACAGATTCTGCTCCTGGTAGCGAGACTGAGATAAGCTGCGGCCGCCGTCAGATGAAGCATTACTGTGGACGAGGCAATGGACAAGCTGGGATGGGTTGAAAAGTGCGAGGATTGTATTATGGCCGGCGGTGAGGCATACTTTCTGGATCGCACTCTTTGGTGCACTAACGCACAGGTTGCCGTATTGTTCGAGCCAATAGTAACGCAAGAATGCAACAGAGCTCAGCCGTAAAATATATCCGCTGTAGTTCGCCGTTGCTGGACAGCAAGGATAAACGAGACGAGCCGTGAAGAACGAAAACGTTTTCCTCCCAGGCTTGCGTGTCTTTGTCCGGAACGAAAGTTTTTCAAGGAAGGGTACGAGCAAGTTCTGAAATTTTCTCAGCGAGAGACGCACGACTTCATTGTACCGCTTCGTTCACAGACTGTCCATCACTAATGACATCGCAATAGTCCCCGCTCAACTGCCGCTGCCCTCAACCCGTTGCAGCCTAACATGCACCGCGCCTCATCACATTGGCATTCACTGACGTCAAAATGATCTCCTCGGATTACATCGACTTTTCTCGCTTACTGCTAATACTCTACTGGATTGCAGGAATCTCCGCAATCCTTCTCAAGTACATCTCCCCGACCCTATCTGCGTCGCTCAACTACGGAAAGCTTACCAAACCGTCACCCAAAAGACGCTATCTGCACTTCATCGACCGTCCCGTGGCACACCCGGGAGTCGCGTGGCCGTTCTTCTACTTTACAGGCGCTTCACTCACGCTCGGTGTGTGGCTTGGTGTGAAACAGAGTAGTGCCGTGCCCTCGCATCTTCTATTTGCTTTGTGTTTGTTCGCATCCCAGGTCGTGAGGCGATTCCTCGAGTGCGTTTTCGTACACCATCATTCTGAAAAGATTTCCGTCACCTTGTTGCAGTTCTTGGCAGGCTCATCGTTCTACGTTGCCGCCCCACTTTCCCTTCTCGCCAGCTGTAATCTCCAAGGTGACGGAGATAATTTTGCTTATTTCTCTGTCCCACAAATCCTCCTCGCTGTGTCCTTCATGGCAGCTTCGTACGCGCAGAATGTCGCTCATAGGACTTTGGCTTCCGTAACGCCCATTGTCGGCAAGTATGGCATCCCGAAAAGCTTCCTGTTCCGCTGGGTCGTTTGCCCCCACTATTTCGCCGAAGTCGTTATTTATGCTCTCTTCGCGCTCTATGTACCCGGCCTTCAAACATTTTTCATGCTTGTTTTCGTCGCATGCAATCTTACGGATTCTGCTGTACGCACCAGGAAATGGTATCGCGCAACTTTCACAAGAAGACAGTTGCTAGAACTTTCTGATTTCGCTATCTTCCCCTTCGTAGTTTGACGCAAGCACTGGCAGTTTGCTTTGAGCCACTGCGATCCCTCGTAATCCCTCTTTTGGTTTTGAGTGCCCTGTTGCTTGAAATGGAACAACGAGAAATGCGGGCTTCCTCCCGAATCCTGCACATAAGCCATCTGGGCTCCTCTGATGACACACATCGCTCCCCTGGAAAGTGCTTCCATCAATCCGGACGGATGTATTCCATTCTATGAAAGCGACAACATGCTTCTCATGGCTTCTTTGGTCCCTCGATTATTGGGATGGTGGCGACGTGACGCTAGCGCGCACCATTTAGATGCCATACTAAAAAGTGTAAAACGCTTATAGCGTTCTAAAATCTCGTACAAGAATGCAGTATCGGTTTTGAGACTAGGAATGAGTTGTATCGTTATGCCTTTCCCGATGAAAAGTGCCATCGTACTACTGAAGGAGCACGCTGCCTCCCGCAGATGCCGAGCAAAGGGCATCAGAAACCCGTCTGCTCACATTTAATGACGAGACCTTGCCGAGTACATGGTGTGCGGCACTTATTTGCCGACTTCGATAGTATGCGTAAACCGCAAAGGCCCTATTTAGTCGTCTCCCTTATCCGGTTCATTCTCCTCCTCATATACCTGAGTCGCGATTTTCGCAAATGGCATACCCTGATTTTGCATGATCTCTACCCATAGCGGCTTGGGTAATTGAATGCAATGCTTCAGCGCAAACATAGGGCTGGCCGCAATGCAATACCAACTCCCCTCGCTGACCTCGCTCTCCAATTCTCCCGGCTCCCATCGAATGCACCCCATAAACAATCTTGCATTAGCTGCATCCGCCTGCGTCATGTCCTTCGAATTGGCGACAAATTTCTCCGCCTCTGTTAAAAATACACCATTGTGCGGCTCCTGGGTGTCGTCAACCTGGACCGTGCTATTACTATGCAGAACGCTGAGATGCACCGAGTCAGTCTGGTCTGGCCCGCCGATATAGACTGGCTGCGAGCCCAGCACTGTGGATGCCAAGTTGGAACTGAAGCCAAAGTTTCCGTCCTTCTCCAACTCCGCCACGGTCCCGAGCATCGGGCGGTTGAGGACGAGCCCTGTCGCACCCACACCCTCTTCATATTTAGTCAGGAACACGACAGCCTGTGTAAGATACAGCGCCGACCGTCTATAGTAGGCCGGGTGCGAGGCTAAAAAGCAGCCGGTCTCTGGCGTGGACAGCTTCGCATTCCGCGGCACGCATGACAAAAAGCAAGCATCAGAGCACGCAATGTCAGCAACAGCCGCAAATGCAGATCGAAAACCCAAGCCCACCGCGTTCCGCATCGATCAACCTACCGGATGGGCCCAGTGCCCCTTTCGATACGCCTTCTCCTTCTTCTCCTCGAGCGCCTCGTTCGAGCCGACGACCAAGGCGGCCCGAAACTCACGCCAGTCGTGGTCTTGGATAGAGCTTAGGGCGTCTGCGTCGGGCTCATCGACCGGCTCGTCAGCGGGCGAAGCGTCGCACATGCGCCACAGCGAGGTGCGCGCGCGCTTGCGATGCCATGCGCGCGCCGCGGGGCGCGCGCAGAGGCCGGCCGGCGCGCGGCGCGGCGGGCAGCACGGCAGGATCGGGCAGGGAACGAGAAAGGCGAGCGTTGACGTCATCGGGGCGCGAAGTGAAGGGTTGCTAGTCGGAGGTCGAAGGGAGGGCGAGGAGTGGAAGACCAGGACATGGCCAATGTTTGCGTTGGGAAGCGTTGCAATTTTGGTGGATGCGGATTGAGGCAAGGGAGATTTACCTGATCGAGGCGTCTGACAAGTCGCCCGGATTTGCAGCCGGCCAATGACAGGGTGAGCATGCGAAAAATCGGCTGGAAATTTTGATATTTCACCGACACAAAATCTTCCCCAGCCACCCAATTCTCTCAGACACGCCCCCCGTGCTACCACCAAATTTGATACCGTGGTTTCCTTCGTCCCCTGGAACAGCTCTCTATACACCTCCGCATCCCTTCCGGCCTACCTCTGCACGATGTGCAAAGAAACTACCGAGCCGCCCATGAAGCGCCAGCGCAACCGCGACTACCACGCCGCGGACTACCCGGACTTCACGCCCAACGTATCGCCGAAAGAGATGTTCCAGGCGGGCATATTCGGCGGCACTTACTTTCGCGACATCAAGATCGGCAGCAAGTGGTACCGCAACGCGTGGAAGGAGTTTGAGCCGCATGGATGGTTTTCAGGACTTGACATTGCGAAAAACATCGCCTGTCGAGACCCGGTGCTCAGCAGGAATAGATACAAGGCCAAATGCGGACAGTCGCTGGAGCAGTGGCTGGAAAAGGGCTGGATTAAAACGGATTATGACTCCCATGGATGGGTGCATTGGTACTGTAGGTTCTTTTTGGGGAGGCGATGTGAGGATGATGTGCGACAGATTTCGAGGTGGAAGGCTTGCGCGGGGAACAAGGGGCGGTGGAAGAGGAATTTGATCGCCAAATGTGTCAAGGCGGGAAAGTCGTTTGATGATGAGACTGTAAGTCCTACCGTGAGACAGTTGCTACTGCATTGGGGTTACCAATTGACGGAGCCACACTTCAACGAATACAAGTCTTTGCTTGAAAAAGGGCACAAGACTAGTTTCATTCCGCAGCATGAGATGCGACACGTCGTCAAGAACAAGGACACGGGCGATCAAACTGCCACACCCCAAGCACAAGATGGCAGAAAGGAACAGAACGAAGCCCGTCAGGAGAGGCGTCGGAAAAGGGCACGGAATTAGGTTTTAAATAATCGTGCGTGCATGGGATAGAAGTTTCGCATACCGGCGACTGCCGATGAGTTAATCAAGTTGTACAGCTTCCTTAGTTGTCCAATGCTACACGGGGCAGCAAAAATCATGCTTGCATAGTGAGAGCACAAAATTGCTGCCCCTCTACTGTGCTTGACAGGCCAGTGCGCCGTAGGGCTTTCATCGCCTCCTCCGGCTCGCCATTCCCCCCAAACAATGCCGAATAATACAAGACTGGAGGACCGCAGAATTTGCAGCCCGTCTCTTCGATTGCTCGAAACAGCTCCCTGTCCAAGAGATGAACTACTGCTCGGTCACCAAGCTGGCAGCGGGACATGTTCCGAAGCCCCTCGTCGTTAACCCCACACGCAGCATGTCGTAGAAGCATACCGGAGCCCACCGAATGTCCTTGCAAGCCAATCATCACCCTTTTCAGTAGATCCAACGTCCGATCGCCAGGTCGTGCGTAGACAAACGCAGAGGGTATATAGCTAAAATCCTTGACAATGCTTTCGTTTGTTGACGGTCGGGAAAGAATGGCGACGTCAATATCCTTTGTCACCTTGCTGTCGAAATACTCCCACAGCGGAGCGAAGAAGGTGATACTGGGCTCGATGGAGAATACTTGTTTCCCCTTGCGCAAGACCTCATACGTGAGTTGATATCTCGCCAGCTCTCGAAAATTGACATGGTCCTTAAACCCCGATTCATCAAACTCTGACAAGTAGACCGGAAGCCCCCGGGTGACGCAATAGCGGTACAAGTCATCATCCAAGGCTGCAACCATGAGCCATGGAAACAACTCATGGGTGCGCATCGAGCAGACCAACTCCATGATCAGAGAGCGCTCCGAATAGTCGGCGACGACAAGAAAGACGATTTCCGAATTAGTCCTGCTCGCGATGACGTGCAGCAAGTGGTCCTGTAGCAACGGGAGACCAAATGTGAGAGGCGAAGTGGAATTGGCGCCTTCAGGGCCATCGTCGTCAGTGCGCCCCGTGATTGCCCAGCGCTCTTTGGCATCAACTGGATTTGAGCCGCGGTTAGCGCTGAGCAGGCCACAAAAAATGACTCGAGAATCAGCAACTATGTAGGGATCATTCTGGGCCTCCGCAACATAAGGCGAGTGCTCGCATCGACACGTATGCGGCCTGACGCGCTGAAAGATGCAAAAGCCATCATGCTCATAACAGCTTGTCAATTTGAGGGGTGCGTGCAAAATGGTGCCCATCTGGGTTACGTAGGACCCGTACGCGGCGGCGAGATAGGAGTTGATAAACAACTCAAACCTGCCCCTGGGATCAGTACTCCAAAACTCCTGGTTGCGGGCCGAAATGTCTGACACCAAGGGCGCGGACTGCGCCCAGTTGCTCAGCGGGACGGCGCCGTCCGAGACGAGATGGTGGTCGTGTTTGACATGCACAAGCGTGCATGCCTCTGAGACATCGACAGTAGCCCTCTTATTGGCGCGTATGACATGATGGGTGAGCCAGTTATCGTACTTGCCCCTCCCATACACGAACGGCGGCACAAGACCGTGGTACAATGGTCCCGCGGCGGTATCCCACGCCCAAAGATCAATACCGCCATACGTATGCAGCACACCCTTCGTGCGAGCGTGTCGCACGACGGCATGGCGCACATCCTCCTCTGGGCGTCTCCCCGGCCCCAGGACAGGTAGCGAATTAGGAAGCGAAGTTACGTCCCAACGCGCAGCGACAGCGAGCCAGCCCGGCGGGAAGTCGCGTCGGATCTTGCGAACAGCATACGGGAAGTCATCGTACAGTATAATATCTGCATTAATAAGAACAGCGACGGTATCCTTTGACGTATTAGTCGCCGCGAGCATCGAATTAAGCAGGGGCAAGCCCAGAAAGGTAGTATCCACGTGCGGCACTCTCCGCAAGCCATACGCGCGTGCGACCTGCGCGTACCCGGGGGCATCGCCCAGCAGGGTGACAACGGGGCGGGGCGACAGGGCGAGCCACGACTCGAGCGCGCGCAGCTGCGGCACGCGGTCCGGGCCGCGGAACGGCTTGGGCGCGGCGAAGATGTGGAGCGGCGGCGGGGCGCGCGCGGCGTGCAAGTGCAGCAGCGAGGCGAGTGCGGGCGGGAGCGGGGCGGGGG